TTTTGGGGCTATTCTGTATACCCCGGTCTTATCACTCCGGGCACATTTAGGGCGGGCGGTCTTCACCCCCCAAAATCCCCCCAGCGGGAGGGGCTGGCTGGGGAATTCTGAGAGTTGAAGTCCACCCATCTTAAAGTGGCCAAGGTTGAGAGAGACAGATTTAGAAGGACAACTGCAGCACTCCCCTCTAGATAGTTCCAGAACATGGTGTTCATGTGTCGCCCAGTGAACTCAGTTTGACTTAGCAGCGCCATTCACACAACATGCTATGCTTGTTTCGTTTTTAACTTTGGATGCCTGGTGCATGTTTGCATGCCCTAGCGTGTGGTGCAAATCCAGAAAATGGTTTAAGAGAACCCGGGTGAAACATTGTGTGAATGCAGTCTGCAGGTAGCCCGTCCACTCCATGTTGCCAACTCTGGAGCCACCAGTCAACCAGCTGGCAGGCAGAGGGAGTTCCCTCTCTCTCATAGAGATTAGCTACCAACCACCTTTTCCTGAACACGAGAGTTTTTCAACAATTTTTGGAAAATCCTCCTCCGGATTCATGCCGTAGCAGTCCTCACACCAAGCCCTGTGTCTTCCCCACATCAGCCTGTTGCATTGGGAAACGCAGACTTGCTCCAGGCACGTCGGTTTCCCAGGTGTGAGTACAGGTGCACTCGGCCTGCACAATCATGTCACAACTGAGATCTGAGCATGATGTAGTGTTACGTTCAAAGGATCGCCTCACCTTGTCATAGAGGGTGTCTGTTTTCAGAGCACAGAACCCAGTGGATATGTTGGGGGGTGGGGAATGCTGTCCTGGGCAATTGGCATCTTGGCTAACTGCTAGAGAATTGCTATTTGAGGAAGTAAAAGCAGGAATGTTGGGGAAGTGGCACCTGGTGCTGGAGTCCATAATTTTAAGGGGAACCAGAGCATCATGCAATCCAGAGTGGGGGAATATATTGGGCCTCAAGACAAGTGCAGCATGTGTGCCAATAGTGTGATATGACTTCTCAAGATGAAGATGAAGCCATGAGTTGCAATTAGGAGGCCTTTTTTAGGGACTACTTTATAAGGACACCAATGAAATACTGTGAGACCCATCATGGTCCAGTGGTGAATGTGTTGAACCTTAAGGTACAGAGGGACTCAGGTTCTGGTCTACCTTCGGCCACAGAAGTTCGTCAGGTGACTTTTAGCCAGTCCCTCCCTCTAAGCCCCAGAGCCAGGGTGGAGTAGTGGTGAAGGTGCTGGACCCAGGTTCTAGTCCCCCTTCAGCCATAGAAGCTCCCTGGGGGACTTTTGGCCAGTCTCTCCCTCACCCCAAGAGTCAATGTGGGGTAGTGGTGAAGGTGCTGGATTAGAAGCAAAGTTATCTGGGTTCAAGGCCCCTTCAATCGTGGAGACTCCCTGGGGTAATTTGGGCCAGCCCCTCTCTCTCAACCAAGAACTATTTGGGGCTACGATGAAGGCCCTGGAGCAGGGAGACTCAGGTTCTAGGCCCCTTCAGCCATGTTGCACCCTGGAGGACTGTGGTCCTGTTCCTTTCAGACCAAGAGCCAGAGTCATCTAGGGGGAAGGTGGTGTTGGACTGGGAGCAGGGAGACCCAGGTTCTAGTTTTTTCTCAGCCATGGAAGCTTAACGGGTGAACTCTGAGCCAGTTACTCTCCCTCGGTCCAACCTCCCTCACAGGGTCATGGTGGTGGGAAAGAGAGGAGAGGTTGCTGCCTTGAGCTCCTAAACAAAAGGTGGGATATGAACCTAATAAAAGCATCCAAAACAAGATATAGATAGAGATATAGATATATATCCAAATATATATTCAATATAAGCATCCAAAACAGTATAAACAACCTTGTCCATGATGTGGCTGCTGCATGACATGGCTAGAGGCTCTTGTTAGTAGAACTTGGGGCATGTCTTGTCATTGTTTTTGGATTGACTACTGCAGTGAGCTTTGTACAGGGCCACCTTTGAAGACTGCCCCAAAGCGGCAGTCGGCTTGTGAGAAGAAGTTGACCAAGGTAGTGAAGGAGTGGGAGACCAGGTTCTAGACCAGGGAAGGCACACGAATGAAGAAAGACATGCTTTTGTACTCAAGGCCCCGAAGGGCTGTTGCCAAAAAATAAAAATAAAAAATTGGAACAGAATTATTCTGTGTTGCTCCAGAGGAGAGAATTAGAGGATAGAAATTGCAGGAATGCTAATCCTTGGGGGAAGCTTTATCATGGGGAGAACTGTTTGGTAATGGAGCCATCTATCTCAGGAAGTGGTAAAGGACAGCTGTTCTCAAGGATAGTCCAGTTCCAATCCTGCGGTGAGGAGAGTTGCAAGGTCCTCTTCAACTTTACGACTGAAATAGAAGCACCCACTTCATGGGGGCAAACCCTTCTCCCTTGCTGTTGCTCATTCAGGTCTCTGGGTGGAAGATCCAGCTCCCGTTCCTTCCCAACCACATCTGGTTTTCCTGCTGTTTATTAATTTCCTTAGGTCTCAGCAAGAGCCAATAATATCTCAGAAACTGCTCATCTGAGGGTCTTGTTCCAATTTCCAGCTCGTGGTCCGATGGAGAGTGCCAAGGGATCTTGAGTCTTCTCTCTGTAAACAGAGATGGGGAATGTCTCTGGCCAGATCGAGGATTTCAGCCTTGCTTCCATGTCTGGGAGAAAGGTGGGGTGGAGAGGGGAGACAGAATAACGTGGCCAGACGACATAAATGGAAATTTAATGCTCAGAGGAAAGAGGTCAAACACTTGTGTAAAACTCATGTTTGTCTCAGTTCTCTGGGTTAAGAAAGAACATTGATTAGTTTTCAGCCAGGATCTGGTGTTTCAGAGCAACAGTTTGGTGATGTTAATCAGAAGTGTGAACTTTCTCCTTGCTTGAACTGTGAATTCATGTACTGCCTAAGGAGCAAAATCAATTAGGAAACCAAATATATTTATATGTTTTAAAAGATTGGTAATAAATGACATTCAGAAGAAAAGGGCCTCAACTTCCTTTGCCCTGCTGTGTAGTAATAGAGTGATTTAGCTGCCCAGGGCCATCTCCCCAGAGAGCATTTTAGAGGATTGCCGTGCAAATAGAATCAGAAACAGGGCAGGGGAGGAACTTGAAAACGGAAAGTTGATTTGGGGGCAACAGAGACACAGGATTTTTGGGAAATGCTAACCGATCCTTCCACCCTGAAAACCGAGCTCAGAGCTGCGAGAATGAGCTGGTCTACATGGACCCAACGGTTGCTCTTTCTGATTCATTCCAGGGATGCGCTCAGTGTTTCAGGACCAGCCAGCATGTATAGTCACTTTTTAGAGCCCCCATCTTTCACCTCCACGTGGTCCTCTAGACGTGCCATCAGCTCCGATGCCAGCGCCCCACCCACTAGTCCTGACCACAGGTGAGTGAAGATGTGAGTCCTTCTGGGAAGGAAGTCAGTGCCTACAATCACTTGCCCACTGAACTGGCTGACTTTCTGGGCCCATTCAACACATTTAACCATAAAATAACTAAACCGCTTGGGTTCACCCCAAACAATCCAGGGCAGGAAGTCAGGATGGTGCCTGCACCAGTGCATTTGAACCCCGGCTACCAACTCATGTTTTTGACCTCCCCTGGAATCTCCCGTCTGAAACATCTGGCCTTCCCTTGCTGTTGGTAACACTTTGCCTGGTAGAAAATGTTGGGAAACTTGAAAGCGTTGTGTTACTTTGGCTGGTCCAAATGCAGGTGTTATTTTTCTGTGGGTATTGTTGGATTCCCATCCTCCCCCACCCCACCCCAGGTAGACTTGGCTCTCGCTGTCTTTAAAAGGCAAAGCAGTCTCTTCAAAACACACCACCCATCTGTTCTTGAGTTCATTGCCCCCCCCCTCCACTTTCCCAGGCAGCCGTAAGAGCAAAAAAGAGGCTTTAGCCCTCTCCTCTCTCTTTCTGTGAGGGTGCCAGCCCTGCAAGGTAGACCAGACTTGGAAACCAAAGTCATGCAGGCCAATACTACTTTTATTATAAAGTTATAGTAACAGAATCTTGCAAGTCTTCCCCTGTCCCTTCCTTTATCTTCGTGAGAACTAGGGAGGGTCTTGTCTGAGACACTTACTTGGGCTACACATCTGCCCCAGACTCAGGCTTCTTTTATCTGGCTGTTGTCTTGGGTGCGGCTTTTCCTCCTGTCCCTCAAGGCCATTCCTTCCTCCCACAACATCGGGACTCTCCTCTCTCCCAGCTCTACCAGTTTTCACCAGCTAGAATGATCTCAAAGCCAGCTGCAAATGGGTTTGCCTCGTCCCTCTTCCCTTTGCCCCAACCAGGGGTGTTAATGGGATGCCAGGGAGTGTCTGTCCGTTGTCAGCCCCACCAAGAGGTGACGCCTGCATTGGCAAGAGCCAGGGAGGAGCCGAGCGGTGCTTTCCTTCCGCTGGCTATGGAGGAAACTTTCGGCCTCCTGCTTTGTCCCAGTAAACTGTTTTAGCTCTGCAAGTGACCACGCTTGAGGTTCTCCAAAGAGCCTTGTGGGGAGCAAGGCTTGCAAGAAAGCAGGGCATTAGTAGGGTGGGAGAGGGGGTGGCAGTGGGTCAGCGAGAGCACGTGGGGGCTTGGTTGCAACAGCTGCAGTCCTCCTTTGTGCTTGGAAAGAACAGAGCCCTTCGGCTTGGCCGAGGTGAAGGGGCTCAAACAGGACCGCCCAAGAGAGAGTCCAGTTGCAGGTAAAATAAGAAGCTGGTCAGGGTAGCTTATGCACACGTACGAATGCGCTAGAGAGCTAGTAAACCGAAGCACAGCTTTTTTTTTTTTTTGGTAATTGTGGTTGATTAGCAAGAAAAACGGGGTTGGATACGTCAGGATGATAGGCCTGTCAAGGGTTACCAGTCTGGAGGACTCCATGTTACCTCTGGATTGGGGGAGCTTATTGATTGATCAATTGATTTGATTTATCTGGCTGCCCATCTCAAGTCCATCTCAAATCCCTGTTGGGGAGGCGGGGGAACGCCTTCCCCTCCTGCCTCCAGCATCCCCGAGGCATCCCGTTGGCTAGGCTGAGAGACGAAATGCTGCTCTCGGGTGACTCTGACCCCACAAGTTCCTCCTACCTTCTAGCCTACAAGAGAGGAGGAAGGGGGTCCCTGCGTTTCTACCCTCAGCTGGCAAAAAGGTCACGTTGCACCGCCGAGCGCTCTGGAAGCCGAGCATCCCAAACTCTAAATCAGCCTTCTTCGGCTCTCTGAATTGGACAAGCCCCCAGCATCCGACAGGCTGTGGGCAAAGATTGGCAAAGCGGGCAACGGGAGCCTTTGCAATAGAATTGGCATGATGAGAGGGGAAGCCAAGACTGTGGGCCACTGGTGGGGGGGAAGGGACGGGGAGTCAGTGCCATTGCCTTTAGGTCTGTGTCTGGAGGGTCCAGGGCCAGCAAGGGTTAGCCCCAGGTTATGGTCAGAAGAGTCAAGATGGTGGCCTCACAGGTGGGCTCTAAGCTCCAATCACACCATCGTGGCCACCATCTTGATTTTTTTGACCATACCCTGGGGACAGCCCGGGACAGCCTGACAGCCAACTGTGCAACGGATCAGGGGTGCCGATGAAACCGTAGTCCAGTAGCTGCTGAGGTTGGAAGACCCTGGTGGCATATGAGTAGCAGAGTGCAGGATCTCAAGAAGGGCACAGAGCAGTGCACAGCTGGCGTGCCAGGGCGTCTGGTGCAGACTTCCCCAACCTGGTGCCCTAGAGATAGGTTGCACTACAAGACCCATGATCACCTGGCAAAGAATGCCACCGTCCCTGTATCTGGAAGGCAGCAGGCCTAGGAAGGCCTCCAGGTATTCACAGAGCATGGCTACTGGCAGACATGACGTGAGGTGGCTTCTCTGGGTGGGTTGTAGCATAGCGTTTCTGGGCATCGGCCTCACCCTTTCCTTTCTCAGTCACAGAGAATTGGGCCAGCCAGCCAGAAAGTCCTTCACCGATCCAGGAGGAGCCATCTCTCCTGGTGCATCAGCCACCCGCACCCCCAGGGCCGTCGCCATGCCAGCGGTGGAAGTCAGTGATGAAAAAGGAATCCAACAAGGTGGGAGCCAATCCAGAGCCTTGAGTATGTGTCACGTGTAAAAAAGGGTACAACGCTTCTATCATACGGTCACGGCCGCCATCTTGACTTTTTTGACCTCCCCCCGACAGGTCCCCGCTTTGGCTCAGGAGTGAAAAGTGCTGATGGATGGGTCACTCTGGCACCCCCTCGTGTCGTGTGAGATCCTCACCCGTCATAGATTCCGATTTTATAAAGAAGCCTAAGTGTAAAAAAAAGAAAGGAAAAAACCCCCATATCTTTGCAGCTGAAGTACAGTGTGAAAACCTAAATGGCTAGAGATGCTCCCCGCTTTTTGTTTCTGAAAGACATACCAGAAGGTAGTTAACTCTGGAGATATCTGTTCCAACAGCATAGACCAGTGTTTCTCAACCTTGACAACTTTAAGATGTGTGGACTTCAACTCCCAGAATTCCCCAGCCAGCTTAAGTCCACACATCTTAAAGTTGCCAAGGTTGAGAAACACTGGTATAGCCAGACCTACTCCTTTTTGAGGATAAACCCCTAAATCTGGATCCACTAGCCAGGATAGGCTGTTCAGGCAACTTGCAAACCTCTCCCTATGACCCACTTAAGAACATTATGTGGACAAGGCCACGTGAATTCGTCCCCACCACGTTCTCCAGATGCTTGATCAAATTTGTCACCCTGGGCTCCTCGTGGTGCACAAAATCATGGGTGGCACTAAAGATCCCATGGAGGTAACAGATTTGGCATGATAAATTCAGTGTTAGATAAGAAAATCAATGGAATTTACCACAATTTTAACGGCCTTGCTAACTTTGTCACATTTCTCCTTCCAGCCTATTGTACTCCAGCCCCTGTATCTATGCTAAATGTTACAGAGCAGGAGAACGCAATCTAAGCCCCCTCAAATCAATTGAAAAACAATCTGAATTACTTTTCTGTTAATTACTCAGCTCCATCTGTATCTTTTCCTTGGCCCGGTCCATTGTCTGGATGATGCTTGCCCACCAGCATGTCACCCAAGACCACGTGCAACCTTAGCCTGAAAAACAAAACTTGTATGCTCCTATAGCAGGCCAGACAATGCCCTCCCTCTGCAAGAAAATGTTTTTGCTAGGGATTCCTATCTGGGCTGCAAACCTCTAGGTGACCACTAGATGGCAGCAGAGCCAGAGTTTTTCTGGTCTCTCTGCTGCCCTCTAGAGGTCATTTCCAGAACACATTCAGAAGCTTGATGACAGCCCCTAAAGGTAAGGAAACACCAAGATGGATTCAGATACCTTTGCAGGCAACTGTAGTCCCACCTTATAATGTTCTCAGGGCTTAATCCGAGAGCCCAGAAAGCCCATCTCCAAATCGAGGCCTTCCACCTGGATGAGGTGTAGCTGAGTAAGACGCAGAAAGGCTCTAAGGCTTATCAGTTTGGACTGGAGTGAGCGTCTTCTGAGAAGTTCCATGGCCGCTTTGTCCCACCAGGCACCAAATGCTATTTCTCTCTTTTACAGACACTGACCGTCCTGCAGATACCAAGGAAAAGAAGACACCCAAACCCAAGCCCCCTTCCCCCCACATCTCCCCAGTCACCATCCGTCCAGGCTCCAATACCAAGCCGGTCCTCCCTCCCATTCCCTCAGGTCGGAAAAAGCCCAAAGCCGTCGCGTTGGACAGCTTCACGTCCACCGTGTGGCTCAAGCCCTAGCGACAGTCGCCGGCCCCTCTTACACCTTTTGCTCCTGTCCACCCGAGTAGCCCTTCTGGGCCCCAACCCTCGTTCTGGCCCACTGAGATGAAACCCCTGCTCCAGCCAGCCGCGCAAAAGGAGGCTTCCGGTTTTCCCCTTTTTTGAAACGTCTTCACTTGTTTGGTGACGCAGCATTGATCCCGGAGCTATTTCTGGCGGGTTGATGGCACTCTCTGCAAGTTATATGCACCTCCTGTGTTTCTTCTGTAGCTTGAAGTAGGCAGTGTGGAAAGTACAAGAAGTTCTCTTCCAGCCCTGAACCACCCTGGCCTTCCAGGGTAAAAAGGGCAGAGATGTTCGGTAGATTATAATGTTATTTAGAACAGTATATATATTTCCCCTCCCGTAAGGTAAGGGACTTATTGGTCCATATGAGTGTCTTACTATATTATTTCAGTCAAACTTCCCTTATATATTTAGCTCCTTTTAAATAAAGACTTCTTTCCCATGTGATGTTGGTGTCATTCTTCTTAATTTGGAAGAAAAGGCCTGGGATCTTTGATACGTTAGCTTTTGGACCCATGCTCTTCGTTGCATTGTGCGATCTATCTAACATTCGCTGCAAATTCTTTGGTTCTTTGCCAACACAAAGAACGTATCTGCCTACATAAGTACGCACACCTCTAGCCCGAAGGAGAGGGGGTGTAAATCTAACACATAAATAAACCTTACTGCGAGCATTCTGTATACTTTTAGGCATAAATAGATCGAGCAACAGCCAAACCACAAAAGGATTTTGTATTACCGATCCATGCAGCAAGCGGCTTTCTTTGAACGTGCCTTCAGTGGACTCTACATCTGTAGGGGTATGGATGGGTATGGGTGCACGCGTGCGCATAATATATTTGAACACACACACACACCCTGCTTTCATGCTGGTCCTGTTCTGCCTGCTTTCAGCAAAGAACGGGGTGGGGAATGCCTGTCCCCGTTTCTCCCATAGCAGAGGGATTTTAAAAACAAAAGTTGTGTTGCACACATTCGGACCTCTACAATTACGAATGTCCAAGAGGGGAGTTCTAGACAGACGCACTTCAAAATAAAATTCCCATTAGCCCACTGATCGCCACAGTGAATGAAAATCAGAGGGGCCAGAACTGTTGCTCATCTGGCCACTGAATTTCATAAAAATAAACCAAGAGTTTCATTGTACTGTCATAGGTTGATTGCTCACAACTGGGAATTCGTTCCTCCCTTTCTGGCTACATATTAATTCAGCACTTCTATAAATAGGTTCTAGACAGATTAAAAATGCCACATTTTAATGCTTCTGCATGAGAATTTTGCATTTACAGGAAATGTTGAATATTCTTCCCACCCATGCTTTAAAAAAATGTCTGCCTGATGGAGAAAACCTAACCCTTTTTTTAGAGTGCTCTAATAACAGAGGCTTTGGGATTGCTCAAGAATCAGATGGTACCCAGGAATCTGTTTTTCTGAAAGCAACTTGGCATTTAACCCCAGGATTTACCCACGAGGAAGCCTTTTTGGTATTTCTCATCTCTCCAGAGAACGGTTGTTGTTGTTTTTTGCTACAAGGGTGTGATGGTGCCTTCACAAAACATCATCACGGAACTACCATCCAACCCAAATTTACCAGGGAACAAAATCCTCGTGAAACTCTTGTTGAATTCACAGAGGTCACATTTGCCCAACATTCAAAGCTTGATCTTCAGTTCCTTCATGTTCTTGAGTGTTGTGCAAACCCTGATCCTTTGAGTGGCTCAGTATATTATGAGAAAATGGGCTAATTCACGAACCAGGTGATGCAGCCAGTGAGATGCAAAATCAGCCAGATCTGAAAACCTGGACACCCACCCGCACATCTTTGGGCTGGGAACCCAGAACCTCTGCCCACCTGGAAGCGAAGCATCTAAGGGAGCTTAGAGCTGAAGGCCAGCCCTTGGAAGATCTTGAGATGAAGAGGCTAGCAAAAAGAGTACTTTTCCTGCAATAAGGCTGCTTTAGCAGGCTCAATTGTAATTAAGCTCAACAAGCCTGGGTTTGTGCTAAGCCACAACCAACCACAACACACATTGGCTTAGCTTTAGGTCTTGCTGCATGGGTTGTCTCTGGCTCGCTCCAGCTGTTCTACACCCCACTAAAGTCTTCAAGCTGTTTTATGGGAAAAGAGGTTAATCTTACTGGAGAGCCTAAAGAGACAATGAATCGTTACAACTGCAGAGCCCAAACATGGTTATCTGCGAGGAATCTTGAATCTCTGTGAAAAGGCCATGGAGGTCTTAGGAGCGAAATAGCACAGACCTTGGCTAGCCATCCAGACCCGCGTTGCAGCAGTGTGGAACGAAAATGGCTGCCTCTTCTTCCCTTTCTGCTAACCGTGGAGAGATGTGCCAAGGTGCGACATGTGGGAGGCGGATTGGCTCCACAGGTGATGGAGGGTTTGCCAAGACCAAACTGGAGCTCCAGTGCCCATTTCTTGCCTGCTAATGCAAACCGTGTGCCCTGAATATGCTTGCACAAAACTGAGTCTTCTGGTGTTCCGTGATAATGGTGCTTTTCTTGCAGGGTTAAGGTTAGCCAAGGCTGAAATGGGTTCTATCGATCAAAAGGTTCACCTTTAAGTAAAAGGCTTGGGCAATTCATGCCAGGCAACTAATGCCAGCACGTTTTAAATGATTTTGACTGCTCCTATTTGCCAAAGCCCACAAGGAGCTGTGGCTCTTTTGACGCTAACAACCTCCTCCTCCCACACAGAAGGGGAGCCTCTGCCAAGATTAAGCTGGCTCAGATCTGCTTGATCTAAAACCTAGATTAGTGTTTCTCAACCATGGGAATTTTAAGACGGGTGGACTTCAACTCCCAGAATTCCCCAGCCAGCATGC